AGGCAATATTATTTTGTTAGATTGTGTTAGTGACAGTTGTAACTGCCCCATGTGCCTGGCTCCTGTGGCAACAGCTCTATTAGGGCAACATCTTTCGAGTTCTTCTGGAGATGAACAGTAAGTGAAGCCTTGACTTTTGCTCTGATTTGCTGAAGGATATTTTTATAATTGTATATAGGTGGCAAGCTTTAGCAGAGTCAGAACTGAGTCTCTGTCCCAGAATGCTGTTAGTGAGGAGTTTGAAGGCTTAATTATTGTTTTCAAATGAACTAAAATTGAATCTCAGACCACCTTGTTCACACACACACAAAGAGAAAAAAAACCAACAGAATCCCCCTCCCAAAACCAAACCCCAAACCACTCATGAAGCTTAGCATAAAAATAAACACATCTGGCCATACTCCAGTTCTTCTGCTGCCCTTTCAAAGGAGAAGGGGAACATTATTAGGGCAATGCTGGAAGCTGAAACAACTAAATACCTATTCCTATGCTTTTATACAGTCACGCATTTGGTCTTTACCACTGCATAAGCTTATGAGAAGGGAATGTGATTTCTGACATCGGTGAATGGTTCTCAGCACATGAAGCAAAAAGGACAGACACCTTCTTTTGTGTCTACAGATGGCCAGATGCTTTGATCTGTTAGCTGATGCATCCACATTACCCAGTGGAGGCAGAGGGAGGGGAAGAGAGAGAAAAAAGCAAAGGCAGTTGCCAAAATTGGCATCCAGCCCCAGCTCTTGAATATGTTGGACCACCCTGAAAAGCATTCATATTAGTGTTGAGTAGTATAATTATTAGATTGTTGGTATATGTCCTAGCAAAGTATGTGATTTTGTTATTCTTTTAAATATGACCAGACTAAATATGTTGTCAGTGTCATCAAACTAAGCTAATATTGTAGCTATCATTGAGCCAAAAGGGTTCTGGATTGTGCTTTCCTTTTGCAGTGCTTGGTCCCATAGGCTGTGCTCGTACTGCTTTGTTGCATGACAGTACCACTCTGCAGTGTCAGGGGCTGCCCTTGAGGGCATCAGATATTATGAGAAGGAACAGCATTTTGGATGCCAATATCTTGGGAAGGCTTTCCAGGAGAAATTAGTGATTATATTACAAAGGTAATGAAATAGGGGAAAAAAACTAAGGATCATCGGTAACCTTTCTTTCTTGGTAATAAAGCTGATTATGGCAGGAAAGAGCAGTATTCTGCACTTTCTTCATAGTCAGCTGAATTCCTCAGTAGTATCCCTTATTTTCTGTAAAGCTTGCTGGAATAATTAACAATTAGGATATATTGTGTATGTATTAGTTTAATTCCTTAGACTTATTCTAGTCTAGATGTTTTATGGATTCTGTGAATTAAAATACATTTCATTATAGTGCTAACCTTTGACATGCTGTTGCATGTCTTTCAGTCTGTACACCTTGGTTGCTTCTGTTGGGATTTCAGACCTATTTTTTTTGGGTCAGCAGTATCTGTGACAGCAACTTAATTGCTACATGCATTTCTACTGTTCTCTGGCAATTTTGTTTCAGATTCATGTCAGTGTACCTATATGCCTGAGGGTTAGTTTTATATTAAATATCAGCAAAAAACTGGTAACATCTACACAAGCAGCCATGGAGTAAAATCCTGTATAATTGCAAGCCAGCCCATCTAAAAGGAAGAGAAAGAGAATATTTTCATTATATTTTAGCTGTTACTGCCAAGAAGCAAAAGCAGAAATGATGTTTCAAGAATCGTGGCAGAAGCTATTTACATTTATTGTCTTTGAGCCCCATAACATCACATTAATGCTATTGCATTTATATCAAACTTTATCTTTTATTCTTTTATTCCTTCCCCGCATTTCTGAATATTCACAGGCATTAATTTACCACTATTGACATATAACTATTTCACCCATAATATAAAAGCTTAAAAATACTATTTCCAAATGACGTACTGGGAGTAATTTAAGCAATTCAGTGTAATTACTAAAATTGGAAATTGCCCAGATCTACAAGCTTAACATAGAGGTTATTAGAAGATGAGACTGTAAAATTTTAATAAAGATATATGATGAGTGGCTCAGTTGTATTTAGGATGGTGCATGTGGACAGAGGTGCATCCATGTCACTGTCATTATCAAATTTAGAAGAAATTCAAGTTTGAAATCCTTCTGCCTGATGATACAGTAGCCAGGAAAGACACGATTCCCACGTGAAGTGTGTAGGCCCCTAGTTTTGTACATTTTTTTTCCTCACTTCATTTTTCTTTGCATTATAAGGATTAAACTGAGTGTGACCTTATTTGCTTTTTTTATAAAAATGGGTGATGCATAGAATGTAACTTAGTCTATTGTAAAAAGAACAGCCAGCACAATATGCAGGGTATGTGAAGGTTGTTAGTTGTCACCATGTTCCATTTTGAATGAAGACAGTCATCACAGATCCAATTTTAACTGTGCCCTCCTATCTGAAATGCCTGCTTAATGCTCCTTTCAGCTGAAAATTCCAATTGGTTCCAGAGTCACTGGATTAATGTTTATAGTGATCAGCATTTGGGTTAGTGATTAGTGTGGTCAACCTAGTGCAGAATATAGACTCAACTAACTATTCTCAAGGAAAATTTCCTGATTGTATTTCCATGGACTTCTCTAACCTGTGGTACAGATAAATAAACATGTTCAGTAGCTTTTCATAGTTGGGAGAAAAAAAGTAATCCACTACTGTGGTAGCATTGATATTTTAATATGATTTTTTTAAAAAGTAATTTATATAGATTTTTTTTTTCCCTCAAATGTCAATGGAAGGATTTCATATTCCTTTTAGAGCTTAACTGGTGGACAACTAAATTTGTCCTGTGACCCTATGGAACTGGAGCATATGTAGAATTCAAAGGAAATTATCATTGGGTTGGGAGGCAGACTGAAGGTTCTGCATAGATGAGTGGCACTGTAATACAGATTCATTAGGAAAGGACATTAAAAATTAGCCCCTGAGGAATCCAGGATAGAAGACATTTGATGAGCCGATGATATTGTAAAATAACAAAGGTACAATGTGTAGTCTGGGAAGGAAGTCCAAATGTAAATTGCCGATAACCACTACAGTTTCTTTTACAAATAAATTAAGATACAATTATTCTGTTTTATTCATTTGGCTTTTCACTAATCCTGGTGACTGAAGGGTATATGAAGGGCTTGTAGTGCTCCGGAGGCTTGAGGAAAGGTTTCTTGTTTTTCCTCTAAACAGGCATTTCAAGCAATACTTCCAAGAAAATAAATAAATAAATAAACTGAACTCAACCACAGAACCCATGCTCTGAACTATGTTTCTCTTTTCAAAGATGAATTAAAATTATCACCTTATTGCAGTATTCTAATGCTGAGTCAATAATGCCACTGTGCTATTTCGTGATTCATACTCCATCAGAACTTGTGTATAGGAGCAGAACCAGAGTATCTGTTTGAACTAGGACTGGAAAGTTCCAGTGGAATGAGAATAGTTTTCTCATTTTTGTGCTTCTTTACTTATGTAATGTCTAAAAGCTAAAGAATGGATCAATATTTAGGGGGTGCTGAAAAAGGAGCATATTTTTACAAACTGGTGATAGATCCCAATATAGGCAGTCTTGACAGTTAATTGGTGATGTTTTAAACACATCTTGTTGTTAGAGTAACTGGAGACTTGGAAACAACTGGACAGTGGTTTGTGCCAGCTAGGCAAAACAGGAGTACCACCATTGGAATAGTGACATTGGTTGGCTTGATATGTGTCTGGCTGGACAGATCTTAAATGTGTATTTCATCCTCTAGAGAAACAAGTAACTATAGTAGACATGTTTTAAAAACAGTGTTTTGTTGACCGGACCTTTTCCAGCAGTCTGTTTATGTAAACATTTAGAAGAAAGCAACAGTCAAAGATTTGTAGCTGTGATATTTCCCATTTTCTGCTGTTTTTCTTGGTGAATGTAAAGAAAGATAACAATTCATCTTTTTTTCCAATCCCTTACAATCATATCTTAAACAGTCTTCTGAAATCAGTACAGTGATTTTACAAGATAACAGGAGAATTATTTCAAATACTTGAGCAAATGTTACTGTGTATTCATGTATGTGCACTTTTACAAACAAAATAATACACCTGTGATTTTAGGTTAGTTTTTTCCTTTATGTTTGGCTGACTTCACATACAGATCGCATTTGGATTATAGTGTATCTTAGTTGTTTCCAATCTTTCAAAATTAATAATTTGAAATTCAGTAACTTGTTATATTCAATTTTTTTTTCTGATTTTCCACTATTGAACCAAATCTGTAGCTTAAAAACATACTTGGGCAGCCTGAGTTTTTAGGAATTGATAGATGGGGATGTTTTAAACGGGAATAGTTTATTTTCAGCATCAAGGATTTGGTTTATATTTCTCTTTGTCTAGGAATAAGAAATTATTACTTAATCAGTGTAAAATCTAAATCTAGTGTTTTCCAAGTACTAATTATTGTTATTTGTCATGAGGTTTATGTTTGTGTGTGTATATCATAATTCATTCAAGTGTGAAATAAAAGGTATTTTATTCTCTGCTCCCATACATAAATTTTCACGTATAGTGGGAATTGTTGTACCAAGCTGAAGATGGAAAGTAAACAAACGTAGAAAGTATTGCCATGAGACACACCATGGATTTTGGGAAAATAAATTGAGTAATGTATTATTAGATGGACTCATTTCTGTTCTGCAGAACAAGCAAAACAGTAGTTCCAGATAGATTGTTGCATAAGCTATTTTAACATGTAAAAAAATGTACCTGGTGTCTCTTCTGTATTTTGATACTTTCGTTACTTAAGCGTATAATCTAGTCTGAAACACTTAATTGACAAAAGAAACCAAAAGACATTTTGCACTGGCTTTCAGTCAGTAGATTTTTGCATACTGAATAAGCTGAAGGTGATAGAGTTCAAAGGATTCTGTTTACGTATAATCACGTTTATCTCTTTATTTTTTATTTTTTTTCCACAGATCCTGCCATTGTAAATGGAGTTTATTGGTCAGAATCTTTAAATAAGGTGTTTGTTGACAATTTTGATCGTGACCCCTCACTCATCTGGCAGTACTTTGGAAGTGCAAAAGGGTTTTTTAGGCAATATCCAGGTGAGATTAAAGTATGAAGCACAAGTAAGTGCTACTTAGCCCCAATACCACAGACACATTTTGAAAAGGCACCCCAAAAATATAATTTAATTCTTTTATCTCTTGTTTTAAACAGGAATTAAATGGGAACCTGATGAGAATGGGGTCATTGCATTTGACTGCAGAAATAGAAAATGGTAGGCAATAGATGACTATTTGTGCTTAAGAAATTTGAAAGGAAGAAGAGTTCAGTATTTAAAAGAACAAGTTGTTTTGTCTTTTGTTTTAGGTACATCCAGGCAGCAACTTCTCCAAAAGATGTGGTAATTCTAGTAGATGTCAGTGGCAGTATGAAAGGGCTTCGCTTGACTATTGCAAAACAGACTGTTTCATCTATTTTGGATACCCTTGGAGATGATGACTTCTTCAATATAATTGCTGTGAGTGTCTCAGGATTTTTCTTCCATCATTTATTGCTGTCTGTCATGTTTTACATCACACAGTACACTTGAAAAATGTTGCAGGCAGGTGATGGATATAAGATGACATCCAAACCAACTGGACAGATACTGATTTTCCAGTGCAAGCTTCTTCAGGTAGCAGTGCTTTTAAACTGTTTTTCTGTGATTCGCAATCTGAAACCCCTTAAGTTGTCATGACTTTGGGAGCTGCAAAGAATAGTAATCTGTTTTGTAGTTTGCCTGAGCTTTCTACGTTGCCTTTAATTTTAACTTTTGGGTGTCCCCCATACTCCTGCCCTCCTTTTTTCCCACCTGAGCTTCTCAAATGCAGTGCAAATTACAAAATGGTTAATATATAGAGAATTAATAGAATCAGATCTTAGCTTTTGCTGAAGCTTCTTTGCTAAGATAACTCCTCATTCATGCTTTCCTCAGTGTGAATCTGAAGTGCATGTAAGTGTTGTGCACTTGTGTATTACTGGTGCTTGCTAAAAGTGATAATTTAGGTAATCAGTAGTTTCTGATACTTGTATATGGTTGTTAGTTTTCCATGGTACAGGGATGTGTTTTAAATCTATGACAAGAGGATAGTTTTACTGTTTTTAAGATTAAAGGGATTAATCATGTAGGTAAGGATGGCTTTAACAAGTGAAAAACTGACATCAGAACTATGATTTGTGTGGGGCATGGGGGAGAGAGAGTGAGAAGGAATTGGTGAGTTTATAAATTCTCCTTTGCTGATTGTCTTTTGCTACTGTTTTATAAATACATGGTTTTATCATATACATAAATCCTAAAAATGTCTTCAAACTCTTTTATATAAGGAGGATTTTGGCCTTTTTTTTGCTACAAGTGCCCTTTGTGTGCTAACATAAACAACCCCAGTGACGTCAGTGCAAATCACTGAGGTTGTATAGAGAATGAAGTATATATGCCTGAAGTATGTGTGCTGCTACTGTGTTTTTAACAGATAGCAAGCAGTTAGTTCAAAATATCTTTCATATTAATCTCCTTGCATGATAATTGCTTAATTAGCAGAAACTCATGTTGTAGAAAGATGTAATTACATCCTGTGTCAAAAAAGGGTTTACTGTCCTTCAAAAGATTGTGATTAACTGTAATCTAAATAACTTTTATAAGTTGAAAGAATGTTTCAACTAAGTAATTATTAAGATACTTTAGCAGACATTTTTCAGGGTATAATCTCTGTGTTTATCAGTAGTTGTGACAGTTACTGTGAATTACGTAGGAAGAAAAAGAAATGGTTTTTAAGTGAAGTTTTTTACTTTGGGAAAATCAAGTGCTCATCTACTTATAAAACCCCAAACTGTAAATAGGTATGTAGCTAGAATCCATACTAGTGATTTTGCCTGAGTATTACAGCAGAAATACTGTGTAAATACTCAAAAAAAAAAAAAAAAAAGAAACAAACCAACCAAACCAAACAAGTATGAAATAACTAAATGTGATTTTTTTCAATTGCTAGTTAGCACAAACTTCTTATCCCTGATTTAGATATTAAGAAAAGGAAAGAAACACCCAACTAAGCCTTTTCCTTCACCCTTGCCCAGGCTCAACTTGTCCTACACCTGCTGCCCCATGCCCCGGTCTCAGCACCCGCAGCCTTTGCTGCTGGTTTGAGCCCCTCTGCTGCGCCAGGAGAGGTGCTGGGCAGTGCGGGAGGTCGAGGGCCTGTGCAGGTATCTGCCAGCACCTCTGCTGTTGAGTTTCTCGCTGCCACTCTTTGCTGCTAACTGCTTGCCCTCTGCTGTTATTCTCTTCAGCCTGGGTCACCAACAGGCTGCAGTCCCTTAGGTGTGTTCCCACCTCAGCCTCTGTCACTCATGGCCACAGTCCCTCAGGGCTGTCACAGAGTCATGGAATGTTAGGGGTTGGAAGGGACCTCCAGAGATCACCTAGTCCAACCCCCTTGCCCAAGCAGGATCCCCTCGGGCAGGCCGTGGTCGTGGTCTGGATCACCTCAGGCCTGTCCTAGCCCTGGTGTGGATCACCTGCAGGTCCAGAAGAGCACCCCTTTCACCGTGACACTTTTCCATATGTGTTTCCTAATGTCTCCAACCCGTGACGGCTCCTCCCTTACGCCCACCTGCGCCAGGGCCCCGCAGCCTCCTCGGGCGGTTGTGACGGTTTAGGCACCTTGCAGGTGGCTCACACCGGTGTTGGTGCCGCCTGGAACCAGCTCAGGGCTCTTCACAGGCCTCTCCCACACAGGTTCCCACTGCAGCCCTCTCCCGCTTATACCTAATACATAGTTTTTTTTAGAAATTCTTAATATTTAAAAAGATATGTAATTAGAGTGGTAATTATAGCATTTGTCTGAGGCAATTTTTTAATCTGAAGGTTATTCCCTCTCTATAACCTCTTTCAGGCTGAATATGTGTTTATTTGTTGAATCAAGTAGAAATAGCAACTGAGAATGAGATTTTATACTTACCAGCTGAGCAGTTTAATTTCATTAGGACACTGATCATTTAGTTACTGTGCAAATATGAACCTGAAATTATTCAGTGCATTGAAAGGGATACCGCAGAAAGACAGGGGAAACAAGGAGACCATGACAGGAGTGACGGTGTGTGGGTAAATGGGTGTCCTGTCACCTTGAAGGTATCTCAGAAGAAGAGTTTTTAAGGAGTTATTTTGGACTAAGTGTCTCAGAAAGGAGGGGGAAAAAAAAAGGTAAAGAAAACACAAAATTTGTTTACTTGAAAAGTGTAACAAACTGGCAACAGAGACCAGTGCTGTGGAGAAGGGAGGTGACGTTACAATGAGGAATGGCCCAGGTAGGCGGGGGCTGAATTAAGAACTCCTTTTAAAATTCGGTGTATAAGAAGAAGATGTAGTGAGGGCACAGATTAAAAGTGAGGGTATAGATTAAAGCCAGGGGTACTGTGATCTAACTGATCAGCAAGAATTACTTATGAAGCACCGCTCTGAATATGTGCCAGTAGGGCAAATTATTTTTGTCAAGACCAGAGAGGATGTTTCAGTGATCAAAATGGGAGAAAACATTTGATTTTTCACTAAATATACTCTTAACTTTATGTGTGTATATAGTAGAAAGCAGTATTCAGTGCAGGTCTTTCCAGAGGATAAACATAAAAAGATAATATTAGAAATCAGTTCAGTTCTCATGGGAAAGTTGTTGCAAAATCTATCTGGAATTGATGGACTAGATGACTGAACTGCAAAAATTTGTTGAAATACAAGAGTAATTTTGTGCTGCCTATGTTAAATTTTAAGGTCAGTTCACCAGTGCATGAACAGAGATGCCTGCAACAAGAGAAAAAGCATATTTTTCCAGTTCACTTTGAAGTATAATTCCAAATCATGTATTAAATTAACAATATTATCATAAAATGAGTACTAATTTTGCCGAATACTGAAATTTTTCAATGCTTTTATAAAAATGTAAACTCTACATTAAATTAGTAAAATATTAACTAAGCCAAGAATGTTAAATTAATTTCAGTGCTTTAGTCACACCATTTTAACAGAATTGACTAGAATAAAAGTAGTTGTTAATTCAAAGCACAGTAGTGTAGTTCCCTGGTTTTAATTTGTAGAATTTTCCATTATAAATGATTTCTGTGTAGTCTATTCGTTGGAGTCCTTGTAGTCATACAGAATAAATTATGGATAAACTTCCTTCTCAGCTTGCCTGAATAATGAGATTCTGTACAGCTGATGTGTGAGCAGAACTGCAGCCAGTTGCTAACCTCCACAGGATGGCTCCAAGCAGTGGGCTGCACTTGTGTCCCACTTTTTGCACATGGTAACAATATTGGAACTTTGGAAATACCTGTTCCTTTGGTTCCTTTTCTGGATTGGCTTCACTGTCAGGTCTCAGGTTGGGCTGTATTGGATATCTGAGTATGTCTAATATAGTGTGAAATCTTTTATCTGTCGTTAACACAGCAAAATATGAATTTAATTTGTTTCTGTGGGCCTTGGTCCAGGCAGCTTAAATATGCCAAAGGATAAATATGAAAAATCCTAAGGTAAATGTAAACTACTTGTGTAGGTGTGCTAGAAAATTATATTTTTATATATCTCACATTGTCAGAATGCAAATAATGTCTAATTATAAAATATAGGTCAGCAGCTGTCTAATTAGCCATATGGTTCATCTTATTTTAGATTTTAGCTCACTCATTTTATTTTATATCTGTTGTGCAAAGAACTAACTAGACTGACAAAATAATGTGAACTAATAAAACATAAATGTAAATAAGTAATTAAAACAATAATAAAAGTCAATGTCATGAAATGTTTATTTTACAAGAGAGATGAAAGACCAATAAGGTATTTGCTGGTTTAGGAATTTCTGTTGGAACAGAAATTTCAGTGAATTTTTCTCTCTCTTCATATTTGAGTTGTTTTTTCTTTCTTTCTTTCTTTCTTTCTTTCTTTCTTTTTTTTTTTTTTTGGTAAAAGCATATACAATTAGCAGAGTATAAAAATTGAAAGATATTAATTAAAATAGATTAATTAATATAGATTATAAAAATGCATGCTTGCAAGTATTCAAACCATCAGAAGCTGCTCTACCTTTCAGTATACAGGTTTTTCTTGCTATGCTTTCTTTTGTATCCATACAGTAGAGGAAGAACTGCTAACAAACCAAACAATTCCAGGTCAGGCTTGTTAACCATGGAACACCATTAGTTTCTTTCTAGTTTCTTCTGTCATACATAGCAGATTACTTAAAGCATTTTTGATAGTAACAAAATGTTCTTTCTGATTATGATTTTATTTAACCTGTTGTCTTTTACCGTTTATTGTGGATGTTGTGATTCTCCTAGTGCCTATGAAAGAGTGAAACTGCTTAAAGCCTAAATGCAGAAGCCTTATAGTTTGATCTGAGATAACTTCTAGAATAGATTAAATTAATGAGAGGAGGGAATTAAGTGAATATCTATACAACTAATGTAGACTTTTTAAAGGTACTTCTGTATTAATCTGACCTGTACTGAAGGGTTTAAAAGATCTAAACAGTTAAGTCCAATTTTCAATCAAGTGACTTAAACATCCATGAGTCTGCAAGATCTATTGACTGCAGAAGAGACTTAGTTTCTTTTAATGCTTAAGGTGCTTCTGAAAATAGGATGGGGCTAATTTACTTGCATCTTGCAAGATAAGCAGATAATTCCTTGAAGATCTGTCACAGCTTCATTACTTAGTGTATAATAAGCTACTCTGCTTGATTGAAATTCTGACTATTGTCTGATATGTTCAGGACTGATGGAAGCTTGCAGAATTTTTGGTGTAGTTGTTCCACTATTAACCTTCCAAAATGTTAGCCAGTGCCTCAAATATTTGTCAAGACTTTTTTTCATATGTAGCAAAGCATTGGGAATTGTCACTGTGATGCATCAAACATGACCTCTTAATGTTTTCCAGATTTCAACTTGAAGGATATTTATGCCAGCTAGTGTATACAGTACCCATTAACTCCACCTGAGTGTTGGCATCCATTCAATTGAACACTCCTTTTTAAAAGTATAAACCTCTGAAACATTAGGAGTCATGTAAAAGGAAAAAAATACCACACCTAGTTTTTAAAAATTATCTGAATCCTTTCGTCCTTGCTTTATGTGATGTTTCACTGTAGGTCTAAATCACTAAATTAAATTGTATTTTGAAAGCTTTTAATTAAATTTTTCATCATACTTTTTATTTCTCTCAATAGTATAATGAAGAACTTCACTATGTAGAGCCATGTCTGAATGGAACATTAGTTCAAGCAGACAGAGCCAACAAAGAGGTAAGGAATAAAAGTAACAAAACAGCAGAGAGATAGGATGCAGTGCATAACAGTGTGCTATAGTGATACATTCCTAGGACAATATATTCCATTATTAGAATTTATTAATTATTCTCCTTAGGCCATTTCAAAGGAGTTTTATGTGGAAGAAAAAGTAACAACCTCTTACCCAATTTGGTTGAATAAACTTAATGGAAAAAATGCAGAAATCACTGAAAATATACTGTTAATAAAGTTTAGTGATTATTTGAATGAATCACTTCAGTTGCTTTAAATTGAACTATCATTCTGTTAACAAAAATTACTGAGGAAGAGACTGTATTCTTAAGTCATATTAGCACTAAAGTTGAAACAAAATCTCAAAACAAATGAAAACAAATATAATAGTATGTGAATAAAAAAATTTAGCATTCCAAACAGATGTGTTGAAATAATAATGCATTCATTCAAGAAAGCTGTGTGAAAGTGTCCAAATAATTACATCTTGCTGGCATTATTAAAAACCAACCAACCAACCAAACAAACCAACAAACCCAAACAGTGATTTCAGTGAAAGTTCTAGTTGAAGAGAGATTGCAGTATGAATATGCAGCTTAAAGTTTAGTTTGTTGCCTGCCGTCCAAATGCAGTAGCTCTGTGCAAGCATTACTCCTTCACACTTCTTAAAAGGTAAGGTAAGATTCTTTCTGTAAAATTGTTAAATAAGGGAGTTGGAAAGTCCTGTGTTTCTTGTAGAGGAAAAGGCTTGTTAACATAAACCGATTGTGATGTTATGGAACTTCTTCCCTGTTAAAACTTCCTCTCTTCTTAAGGTTATTTGTCCTCCTATACGATTCTTGCATATGGCTGCAGAAGGACAGCAGTCTTGCATGTTTAAGTGCTTTCCCTCTCTTTTGTTACTGAAAGCAAATGAAGAGATTTTCAGCTCAGCACTGAATTGTGCTTAACATCGAGTGTGGTAGTTCATTTTTGCTGAAGAATTCAATGACATGTTATGGCAAGTACAAAACATGGCTTTGAAAACACACTTCTAAGCATATCAATGTTAGGTATTTTTATGTGTACCCAGACAAAGTCAGTTTGATCTCATTATACTGAACTTCACTGCCATTGTATTATTCATATGAGGTCTTTGCATTTTGCTAACATATGCACGTATATTCTACAGGAATTATTCTTCATGGGCTGCTTCTTTAATATACTTGATATTATTTACTGTTGGTTCTTAGGTTGTCTCAGTATCATTTGGCTACTATATGACATTAATTCTCTCTAATCATTTGGTGTTGAAGACCTTTTGTTTGTGAACTGTGATGCAGGTTTCTAAATGGGCACCTTATTGTGGAGGGGTACCTAATGAGCCATATGAAATCTGTGCAAGTTCTAGACTTAAAACTAAAGATTCAAATATATTGGCCAGAAGTACTGTCTGGAATGAATCCTACTGTTAACCTTTCCATCACTCTGCAACTGATCAAAATGCCCATTACCATCTACCCATATGCTACTTAATAGATTCATTTCAATGTAATTGATCAAAAAGCTTGTATGCCACCCAGATGATGCTCAGATTTTATGAAGAGTGCTCAATAGTTCAAAATAGCTAAGTACACTATCATGTGTTGTTTTTCAGAGTAAGCATCAATGTAACTTCCAGTAAGCTAAATTATTATTTTTTTACTAATTATTATTATTATTTCTGGAATACCTTGGTGCTTTATTTTGTCTATAAGTTGGATAATACATCCAAGGTTTTGGAGAATAACTAAATATGACCTTTTTTTCAATTATTCATATTAGTGAGTTAGTTATTTTTCTTTCATTGAAAGGTCAGATCTAGAAAATAAACTTGAGATAAGTACTATGTAATATTTCCTTGGTTTTTTATATGCTCTGGCTTTGTCAATCTTCATTTGTTTCTTAACTTCTGTGAATTTATAAGTTCTTATTATTTTTTCTAGTTTGAGTAAGGAAGTTAACAATTTATTTGCCTAAACACTGGAAGGCATAAAGGTGCCATCATCCCAAGCGTAGCTCAGAGTATAAAGGCTGTCAAGAAGATGGTCAGCCACTTAATCCTAAACAAATAATTCAGTTATCATGGTTTTGAATTCACAGTTGCAAACGCCTTACTGAATTGTCTGATATTGTTCTAAGTTCTGATACTATGTGGTTTGAATACACTTGATACAGAAATACTACCTGGGAACTTCATCAAAACCAGTGAATTTCCTGGAAAAGTTTCTCTTGAATTCATAGTATACTATGAACTATATATTCCTTCCAGAAATTTCTATTCTTTATCTTTTGATATCAAATATTCTCCTCAGATGAATGGGAGAAAGGATGACCACAACTGTTGCTACCAGTATAAGCTCTATTAGCACCAAAATAAATGCTAGAGTTTTAAAATATGTTAGAAGGTTTTTTTCTTTAGCTGACAGATATCTATTGCTCTATCTTAACTTTAAACTGAAATGATTAGAAATTGTTGAAATTCTATTGCATGTTGTTAGAGTTTTCCCTTATGTGGAAAGAGGAGATGTATGTTTCTGATGACTGCAGGAACTGAATTTTTAACAGTTCGCTCTACCACTCTTGTCTGTTGTTACATATACACCTTACCCCACTAAGGATAGGTATTTCTTAATGCAGATTTGTTGCTGGAAACATACATAAAACAAATTTTAACAAGCTATTAATTTATGCTGAGTAAACTTTAATTTCTACGATTAGGGCAGTATATTTCTCTCTCTCTCTTTTTTTTTTTTACCATAATACTTGAGTGTCAATATAAAAAATTCCCATTAAGTGACCCTTAAAAAAAAAAAAATCTGCCCACCATACACATCCCCTCAGTTCTTGCTAACTGCATTTTACTTGGTTCATCTGACATCACATGTAGTAAATAAACATAGTTCTTAGAAGCAAAGATAAGAAAGTTTGGATGTTTGACTGGAACTTTTTATCTCATGAGGAAAGCAGCTGTGTCAATAGCTCCAAGTAAAAATTGCTTTCACAGGATTGGTACCTCAGTCTACATTTGTCTTGAAAGTTTTTATTGGAAAACTTTTTTGCTGTCTTTATGTAAGGCTCAGATGTTTTCAAATGGAATGTCACTTCAACACGTTGAATGTCTTTGAATTGAGTTTTCTTTAACCTCTAAACTTGAACAAAACATATAGAGAAAGAAAACTCTAAATTAGGCTGTCTTTCACTTGCACTTCATTTGTAATGAGCTAAAGGGCAAACCAGCTTCTCGGCAGAATAAATAGGGCTAAATTATACTAACTTGGGGCAGATGGACCAGGCCTGGACTAGGGGAGAGATCAAGTCCTGTCTTTTGGGGAGAGCCAAGTGTGGTGTTTGCTTCTGCTGAGAGGGTTCCCCTCTGCCAGCACAGACACTGCCTTGCTCGCCCTGGCCTCTCACACAGCTGCAGGAGCCAGCCTGGCTTGCCAAGATGCAGGCATAAGTAAAATCCTTGGGTTTGCCACTCGCAGCAGCCTGCTGCCTCAGGCAGTTGGGATACAGCCAGAGCCTATCCTGTTCCCATGCACGGCCTGCCTAGGTAAGGCGAAACCTGGGAGCATCTTCGGGGAATGGAGCATAAGGATTTCTTTTGGTAGGTTACAGGAAGCGGCTTCAGCCTTAGGGTTTATAGCAGCCTGGGAAATAAGTGCTTCTTAATGGCACTGGTGCTGAATATTCAATGGAATTGTGGGTAGCAAATGAACATACTCTTTCACATTCAGAGATGGCTTGCATAAATTCTTCTCCATAATGTACAGGGAATGTAACAGGCTTCCAAAGAACTAGACTTCCAGAAAATCCAATTAGTCTTGGGTGGGGGGGAAAGCAGCAATCTGGTGTCTGTTTTACACATTTTCTCAGTGAAACAGTGTGACTTCTCCCCCTTCCACCCCCGTCCCATCTCTTCTGGGTTTGGTAGGGAAACAGTATTGTAAACACAGCGTTAGTTCCCCACATTGGCTCTGTATGACTTACTATTATTTTCTGGACTGCAGTGTGAGAACTGTTTACCTAAAAGAGAAAAGTCCACTCTCATTAAAGTTTGAAAAATCGTTTAAAGTGTTGTAACTCTTACATCTACTCTGTGCTGATGGGCCTGACACTAGAGCAGATCTGTACAAAATACATACAGAGCAAGGAAGTTGCATTTCCCTTTGAATGACAGCCTAGTTATTATTGACAAAGCTGCATTCATTTCCTCTACAGTGTGCAAACTCTATTCCAGTTGCATCTTTACTTAAATTATTACCTCCCTACCCCATAGTTAATATTTTAGGTCTCTTGTCTCACAGCCGTTTTAGTAAGGAGTGGCAAGTTAGACCTACTTGGGCTCCTATGTCATATAAATTAACAGGTTATCTGAAGGTTGTTGATCCTGCACTGTTTTGTTAAGAAAAGAAAGCATTTAGAAGAGAAAACATGTCATGAGTACTTTTACCTTTGCAAGTTTCAAAGGAGCCAAATGTGCATTTTGAAGATTGGTACATATTTCATAGTGATTGCTGCAGTGAAGATTTTTTTTTTTTTTAAGAAGCCTCATCATACCTGTAGGGCTTACTTGACCAAGAACACTCCTTGATTAAAACACTAATAAAAATCACTCTGGTGCACTACAGTAGATTTTTAAAGAACATCAAGTAAGTATAATGTAATTAATCATTTAAAGATTTAACACCTTAATGCATTTTTGTTACGGGGAAGGAATGAAGGTTGGAGGAAACTGTTTTTCAGCCCTGATTCTCCAGCTTCTTTATCAAGTAACATGCTTTTCTTTATGAAAGATTGAGGATACATTAAAAGAAGTGATGATTCTAACCATCTAAACCTGTTCCCTACCAGCTTCAAGAACAGCAAAATAGTGCAATCTTGAATTGTAAATCTTAATCTAGATCTAATTTTTTACTGCTAGCTGTTTTATGTTAGTATAATATGCTTAGAAATTTCCACCAGTTTTGATCAAACAATTT